TGTACATGACAGCATACCTGGCTGCATATACGATAAAATAGCATTAAAAGAAAGACAATATATTAGAGCTCGTTTTCCATAAGTAGTACCTAGATATAAGGTTTAAAAAAGTTCAAACCTCGCAACCGGATGTAGCCTTTAATAGGAATCCTTGTAAAGAGAAATATTCCAAAAACGTTGAATTAATGAGACATCACTTTGTTTCTATCATAGCCAAGCAATACACTCTTGTCTTTTCATAGAAAATAAAATTCTTTGAATGTTACATTATTTCAAAGAATTACATAGACGGAATTTGCTATGTTATAGACTAAACGGAAAAACGAAAGAAAATGTTTAGTTACGTTTCACGGAAATGGGCGATGGAGGGGCTATAATATTCTATACTGTCAAAATTAATAACATTATATAATTTAATATTATATAATGTCTTGTATTTATATTTGCTAAAAATCATTTTTGTTCGTGTCCACGATGTTACATATCAAGATCAAGGTCATTAATGGTTGTTTCTTAACACAGAGATGTCCGTAATTGATTGTGAGTCATAGAACGTGATAGTTATAAGTCAACGCACAATATGTTGGCGTACAATATATTATATGATTACAACTAGCATTCCACGACTTGATTATAACCATCTTTATGTGCAGCTTATAAATCCACGGTCTCCACTTTTTTGAACAGCCTGTATAATATATATGTGTAATACATATATATGAGTGTTAGACATATACATAACGTACATTACATGGTCATTCATGCAAATAATTTTCATACGACACTGTACGTTTATGATATGTGTATATATCACATTGCAAGTGTCTAGTAAATGTACTTATATATTTACTAGTCAATGTATACATTGACTACAACAGACTACAGTAAGTGTATATTTTTATTAAGTAATAACACTGACTGTGATATAAATCCTATCTTTAGATGTAAACATATATTTGAAATACATGTATACACCAGTAATATAATAGCACTTTTTCCTTCATTCTCAATGCCATTTTACTTAGGGCACATTCACACAACATGCATAGCCGCATAAACATATGCATGAAGAAAATTATGCAATCATATTTTACGTATGTCGTTATGATAGAAATGTAATTGGAAATTTTTACAAATAAAAAAACTTGTAATACTATGTCTTTAATTTTATCTTATATGATTTTTAACCTGTGAGAAATATTACTCTGTTTATGTTCATTACACTAAAGCGGATTACTAATTCTGGGTGAACGACTTTAATATTAATTTATGTTTCTGTGCTGTGTAAGATTATTAAAGCAACATTTAAAAAATGTTTAAAATACTAAAACATTTTTTAAATTCCGCTTAAATTCCGCGTGGTAACTCAGTACAGTGGTACCAACTTACAGAAAAAAAATTGTGGCGATATTTTTTACGCACGTCTTTCAAATGATAAATTCCGGATACTTTTTACACAGAATGTATCTGTACTTTATCATATGTATTTTGTCCAGTAGAAGAGATTTCTTATCTTTTATAAGATTATTTTTGCTTATATCATATGAAAATATAAAAGTTGTTAAAAAGCTGGATTTTGCAATTTTACTCTTAAAACAAATGAGATTATTTACCCTTGTGGTGCAAATATAATTATTTAATTATATTTTGTCTCATAGAAACAATATTTTACCATTTTTTTTACGACTTTTTTACGAGACTTTTTTTAGTTACATTTTATGAAGCTGCTAAAGAGACAGATTTTACAAATTTAATCCTCAAAAATAAAATATTATTTATGATATATTAAATAAGATTACCTCAGCTACGCTATAGTACAGATCGAGTGAGATATTAAAACAAATTTCTATTTTGATCTTTAAAAAAAAAATTATTTCGGAAAATACATATATTGCAAAAGTATTGCGATTTTTTAAATATTTATATGTAGTCGTAATTTGGTAGAATAAAAATTCGTTTTCGGAAATGTCTCCATAGTCTCTACTATCATAGAAATCTTTTAATTTAAGAAACTAGGCGTCGATTACGTATCTTGAAATAAGATAAAAATTACAAAGATGAGCAAATTTATCAGATATTGACCAATGAAATTATATATATTCTAGTAAATTCGTTCACTTTTATAATTTTTACCTTATTTCAAAATACATGATCCTTCCTAGACACAAAATCATTTTTAATTGATCACAGTTTAATGAAATTACTAGAAAAAGAAAAAGAGAAAAATAGAACAGGAAAAGAAAGAGAAAGAAAGAGTGAGTATATGTTTTTTCTTGCATCCAGATTCTCATTAGAAAATCTCTATCCTATCATAAAGTCTCTAGAAACAGAGTCTAGCTATGCATACAAAAACAGATGTAAAATATGTGTATTTGATATAAATGTATGTTACATTTTGATTGGTGATGCCAATGTTAAGCATGCCAATCAAAAGAGGTCTAACAATGGTCAGACTCTGGATGCATTGGACCGTTCCACACATAATGCATATGATACATCACTTGATCATGTTGTTCACCGAATGTTAAACAAGGATAAATGATGCATTATGTATATTATGCATAAACAGAATGCACTTTCTGTATTTTAGGATTCTACTTTGTTCTGGTGTGGAGACTCTCTAATCAGAGTAGTAAGCTCTATAATATATTGGACTTCCCTATACTGTACTACAGAAATTGCAGTCCGATTGAAAAAAGGAAGGTAAGAAATATTAATTTTTCTGACACTTTTCTACTTATGATATTAAAACAACGAATCCCTAATAATTCAATCTGATTTAATCCTTCGAGTTGTGTATCAAAGTTATCTAACTGAATCAAGAGACGTTGTCCATCGCCATTTTTTAGATCCTGACACGTCCTTTCTCTAAAAGAAACTTTGCACACTTTCTCGAAGTCTCGCGCATTTATAGCATCGCTAGTTTTTACTATAGTAAAAAACAAACAATATTAACTTTCCATTAAAGTGTCCTTATTTGGAGATTAAAACATTACCATTCGTCAATAATTCGCTCCTATATATTATAGAGCTCACTAAATCAAAAATTGGACATCAGAGTACCATTTTTAATCTTTTATTTTCTAGCAATTTGCATCAAGGCCTCTTTCGTCGAAAATTGGCGAAATATGACTAAGATCTCTGATTAGAGGGTTTATCCTATCAATCTTTAAAAACAATTTTTCTAATATCCTTCAAATATTTTAAAATCGCGATATATGAATTTATTGTCATGGGACATATACTTAAAGTCATTACTGAGATGAATAGCGTAACTAATTCACCTTTTGAATTAGTTTCGCTACTCATCTTACGAGTGAGTCAATAAACTATAATCGTATAAACATATAATAAAAATTAATTAATGTATATTAAAAATTTGAAATACGTAAAATAGGCACTCTTACGATAAATAAATTCTTAATAATTTAAGAATCATCGCTGTCGCTCTCTCGTTGTTCCCGTGATACTTCATCCACGCTTGGCGCACCATCCACGTTTCTATCCAAATTGTGAGAATTCCATAGAGGAAGCCATTTATTCACAAACCACCAATGTACAGAAAGCCGCCCATGATTGCATTCCGTTCTCTCACATCTGCCAAGAAACTGACATATTCCAGTCAGACTTCCGCTTTGACTACGGATACAAGAGTCATCGCAGGTATGCTGGTGTTCCACATAGCGACTTATGGAACAGATAGGAGCACTTGATGTGGAAGCACCGGGAGCAAATACCGATCGTAAAACTGAAGATGAACTCGATTCGTTGAATCTTGCACTAGATGTTGCATTGCCGGACGTCGACGGGCCGGGATCATTCGGTGGATTTCTACTATTAGATGTATTTCCGTGACCTGAGACGGAAGCACGATCCATCCTACCGACATGAACCATGGCATATAAAGGATTGTTAACAGACTGTCCGGTCCGATTAATCCAATCCATATATCGTCCGAAGATTGTGGAATTAAAATCGGACGAAGCTTTACTACGGCAGATGCAATTGGTCGGATTTCTACAATGACATTCTATTTTCAATAGTTCAGCAGCACGAAGAGCGGAAAACTTTGTATAAGAGTATTCGCCACGACAAAAGGGACATCTGCAATTTCTTGAGACTTGATACACATAATGCCTGGAATTAGCGGTATCTTGATATCGTAATCTGTTGTACAGATAGTAACAATGATGGCATATGTATCTTGCGTCCATGTTTCTACAGTATGGACAGGTACAATTATGTACGATTGGATGAGAACGTTTCGTAGATGCGTATGCAATATTCTCTGTGGAGAAACAATTGCGACCTAATCTATTTAGAGAACTTTGGTAAATGTTACTATTCAATCGAGAATAATCTATATAAATGTGTCTTGGTTGATCGTATGGATTCACATTTCTGCTGTTTTCCATGTCGCTCAAAAAATTATGAGTAGGTAAATGATACTTATAATAATGACAATGCGCTCTACACGATATCCGCTCGTCTATTCTTTCATACATATGATTATCCATGTTACCCTGATCGTTTTGAACTAGAGATTCGTTCTGAGGGATCTCCGCACTTTCATCATCGTCTTCATCATCATCATTATCCAAACGTTCGTAAATGTTTTCTTCTGGCTCCTGCTGTTGTTGTTGCTGTGGTTGTTGTAAACGACGATTGTAATTGCGTATCAAATCAATCGGATTTTGATAATTTGGATTCAGATTTGGATGTATTTGTAGTGTGCTGTTGGGACGATTCTGAAAAGCACGCGAGATATGACCCACGTTTTGATAACCATCCTCCCTCTCCTGATTACTTCTACCTTGATTCATTATAACTGCGGCTAATTCGCCGTTCTCGTATCTCTGACAAACGCAACGCGGACCTGGACAATTATGGCTGGTGCCGCGATTTTGTACACCGCTGGGCCCGGCTTCTCGCGAGGAGTCCGATATCTCGACATCTGGATCCATGTTTTGTTCTATCGTATGCCCAGCGGATTGTAGACCTCACATTGTCGTTGCAGAGGCCATTGGTTTATCAATGATTGCTACACCTGCGTAACTACGCCCAACTCCCATGCAAGTTGGTAGAGTAGTCCAGGTATCGGTTCTTGGAGAATACATTTCTACCGATGCTAAACTGGAGGAACCGTCATCTCCACCCACCACGTACAAAAGTCCGTTTAATGCCACAACACCTGTTCGATATAGCTTTATGTCAAGTTCACAAGAAAAGATTAACGTGAAGAAAGAAGACAAGATATCTAAGACTACTCGTACATCTTTTTTTAAAATAAAAAAAAGCAGTTTCTTGTAGCGCGCGTTCGAAAAGTAAGCAAGTCGCTAGAGGAAGTCGAGGTAGCGTGAGAGTGAGTGGACGGAACGAGTCGGGTTTTGCGTGTGTAACCGCGCAGCGAGCAGCAGTAAACGGCATACTAATTAGTTATATGTATCTTATCTTTTACAGTTTTTATTAAAAATCTCAAAAATTGCGACGAATAAATCGGATACATTTTATTAGTTTCAAATAATATTTTCAATTTTCTATTTCGAATGAAAGTAAGCTATATAACTGTATTAAATTTTTTAAATCAATACAACACAATACATTTTATTACTTTTTCCGAATTACACAAGTAAAAAAATAAGAAACTTTTTTTAGCTTAAAATATTTTTTTGGAAAAAAAAAACCCTTTCAGTTATGTTAAAAGTGATCTTAAGTGTGATGAAAAAATAAATTTCAACTTCTAACTTTGACTTGATATAACTTCCCATTCGAATAGCCAACTTTCTAAAATTATTTGAGTCGAATGGGATTGCTTTCATCAAAGCGTATTACTATAAAATAATATAAAAAAATCTTAAGTATTCCCAATTTATCACTATTATTTACTATTCTTGATTTATCTATCAGAAGTTTCATAGAGCTTTATCTAGCCATACTCTGTTCAAATGAAGAAATATGTAGTATGCATATAACATACTACTAATATTGGAAGATTGTGACGGTTATCTTGATCGCACTTCATACCAGCAGAACGTTATTTTTTTATGTTTGACTAATTATATCAGGGTATCAATCATGTAATGTTTTCTCTAGAATAATACACAAAGTTGCAAGAGTATCGGAGAAGGAATCAGAAGAAAACTTGAGAAAGAATGAGAAAATATAAGAAGGCATGTTGAGGTATTTGTGACGCCGTGTGTGTACACATACAGGTTTTAATTACTTCAGGGAAATATCTCGAAAAATATGAAAGATATGAAAAAACGTTTCAGACATAAGCTGTAAAACTCGAAGAGAGATATATAAGGATACTATTGGTTTGACGTCATGGTCAGATCGAGTCGTGACATATGATGCATTTTGATAGAAAACAAGTTTCATCCTTATAGACCGTTTATCAAGTATTGACATATAATGATTTTGAACAGAGATTAGTATTTTGTAACTGCATAATACAATAACCTATTTTCACCTAAAAATTTTATTTTTTGACAAAGGTATTTTTCTGTTTTACTAGAAAATGTTCCTCTGTGATTGTTTGGATATGTGATTCCAATAAGATAAATGCTCGTCACATCGAGAATTGTCTGTAAACAATGTTTCTCAATAAACGAATAGACAAATACTTAATAATCTATTCTGATCACTGAATTTTGTCAATCTTGAATATTACTCGTAAAAAAAGATACAAAAGATATTATATCACGATATATTGTAAATATCTGACCAAGAAATAATATGACGGTAAAAAAAAGTGAAACAATTTGATTTTTAAGTACTGAAGCAAATTCTTCAAGCAACTAATTTCTTTAAAAAAAAAAAAAAAAAAAAAAAAAAATTTTTCC